GGGGGGGGGGGTACATATATCAGAGCCAGCTCTCTATGGTGAAGCCGCACCCAAGAAGTGTGTCGGCGGAAGGGCTGCTTGTGTCTCTTCGAAAAAGTTTAGGATCTTAGTTGAACTGCTGTTGAAGTGCGGTCGGGGGAAGGAACAAAATAATGAAAGTCGAGTTTCGGAAGCCTTCTCCCCTCCGTCAAGTAACAGGGGTGGCCCAACCATCAAGACCTACCCTAGAGCTGGAAACGCTCCCGGCGAAAAAGGCGCAGCGTCTTGTCCTGCGGGCTCCGCCCCGCTGTCCTGCAGGTTCAACCCGTCATCATCGACCACTACGAATTCCTCTTCTCCCTGGGGGATGGCGCGAGTATCACCTGTGCCGCTTTGAGTCCTCTCTCCTCCCATGTCGTTCGCGTGTTTGCTGGAAAGGCGGGTTCTCTTCCTCTAGATAGAGAGAGACGGGGGGAGTGTCTATCAGAATTTGGTAAGAGGAAACTTGAGATCTGTCCCTTCGCGTCGCGGGCGTGGTTCAGCACAGCAATCTACGGTTTCGAGGGGCTCCGTAGGATGATTATCGGAACTCAATCTCCTATGCACATACCCGCCCCCCCCTATGTCCTCCTTGACTTGCTCACACATTGCTGTATCGAGCAACAAACCTTATCTGATCTGCAGAGAGAAAGTATGAAGGCTGTCGACACCACGATCGCGCTTTTCGCTCTAGCCGCGCTGTCGCCGGCGGCAGCGTTTGTTCCGTCTGCCGCAAGCAGGGCGGCGATCGGACGCACTCGAGGTGAGCGAGGCATTCCACGTTTCATACGTACGCGTGTTTTTCATGTTCTTGTTCGCCCCCCGCTCGCTCTTTTCGGTGTGACCAACGAGAGCGTGCCTTGCCTGACGCTGTCTCGGTGCCGGGGGTTGACTCTTCGTTGCTAGCTGTAAGTGTGGGGTATCGGTAGGGACAAGTGGGAACTCATCCGGCGACAACCGTGTGTGCACAGCGTACCAGGTGTGGGTGTCTCTACCGTACCGGCAGAGAACAACGGGCTGCTGCTGTACTTGCTACAGGCGGATAGCTGTAGCCAAGACCGAGCTCATGGCATCATGCCATCTCACGAAGTTCCCCTATTCTCCTGCCCCGTGTTTGTTGCTTACTGGCTTAGAACAAACGAGTCTAGATCCTGAACGTAAAGTATGATGGCAAGCCTTTGATCTGCACAAGTCTGGTCTACATGCGTCAATTTGTAGACAGATCCGCCGCAGTCGTGCCAGAGTGCGTCATATGACGCATGGCCGGTCCATTCTGCATTACCACCCGAGATGATGCGTGGAACTCTGTGTGTACTTCACGCACCAAGACGGCCGCGGATCCTATGAGTGCTCACAACCGTTCGATCGGCAGTCTTAACGGTGCGGTTACCTTCGTCAGGGCGATCTCGCATCATTCACACGTTCACGTGGTGTGACATGGCGGTTGAAAGTTGAAACGCGGCGGGTGTCTTCGTTCCAAGGAGTCGACCCACGAGTCTGTTGTTTTGTGATGTACTTCGTAATACCAGTACACGGTAGTGGAACACATGTAGTTCCCATGGGTTATCCTTTCCGAGGTAACGAACACTTGGGATTGCTCAGCTTTCCGTGGAATGGTGAAGATGAGCCGCTGTTGCAGGATACAAACGATCTGCCACCATATTCGGAACCACATGTATTTAAATAGCACGACCTTTACTGTGCTGTCTACAGCAGACTGTTATACAACTTCCGATTATTCATCGCCCCCGCCCAAAAAAATAAATACTGAAGACGGGGGACCCTTATCGTTTAAACACCACCATCGTAAAAAATGTTTGTCATCCACTCCGCCGTTGTCCTTTCTTGTCCTGCCTCTCAACGCCCGTGCGCCAGCGTTGCCCCAAAAGTCTCAAACGACCTGCTCCCCCGCGCATAAGTCCTCGGCGGTGTTCCACAGCGGTAAGGGGGCGTCGGCGCTGTTTGGGACGGGACCGTCCTACACCGACGTCGTGTCGGAGACTGAGGGGGGTGAGGAGGGGGATGAGGAGGGGGGGAAGAAGAAGAAGAAGAAGGGCAAGAAGAGCGGTGGAGACAAGGAGAAGGTGATGGGCTTGGAGTGCTATCGTAGCCGCAGTCACATGGGTTCGGAAACAGAACGGTCAACGTCCTTCGGTAAAGCGCCACTCCCAAGATTTTGCAACTCTCTTTACACATGTGAGGTGTAAGTTCGACCGTTTCTGCTCCTGTGTGTCAAACTCGCAGAATAGTCGAAAACGAAATGCAGAGGCAGGCGTAGCAAACAGCAGCAACGTGTGCTTGTGCTGCTACTGTGTGCTTCCTCTGCGGGCATTCTGTTGCACGAAGCAGCAACACCTGTTGAGGTCTGATTGATTTCTATGAATTCTTGACTGCACCATTGGGAAACTATGGTATCCTTGATGATGAGATTGAAACATTGCCAAGCCGAATAGGGGGGCGGGCGGAAGTTCTTGATTCGCGCCATAACTCAGACCCACCGCCATTGGCTGTGGCGTTACCGTCGTTGTTTGCGCCTCGCTCGTTACGCACACGATGGGTACCTTTCCTGGTCAGCTACAGTATCGTGCTCTTTGCCGTGACATCAAATCCTGCACGTTTGACAAGGACCCTACCATTGCACCTTGCGTTGCACAGCGGAGGCAACCATCGATCACCAAATGCGAGCTAGATTATTTGCCGTCGATCTGTTTTATTTTTTTACGGGTCTCTATGTTGTTTGCATCGTTTCGTGTGTACGCGCGCCCGCGTGTACATATGTATGTCTACTGTCCATCGGACGCGCACATATCGCATTTCGTGGCGTTCTTGTAGAGAGAAGAAACATGCTGCAAGAACACCTCCAAAATCCAAGGAGAAAATCACCGGCGCCTGCTCCCCCCTTGAATCGTGCAAAAGCTGGAGGTTTCCCGTGGTTAGACGATTTTCTCCAACGGGTAGCCTTTCTGTGAGGTTAAACATACTTTTCTAAAGAGCTGGAGGTTAACCCCTGCACGATTGTCGCGCTTGACTTCCACCACGCTCCGTCCCCTCTTGTATCGCGCCGTACCACTCTAGGTGAAGCTGGAAGCTGAGGTTACCTTCTTCGAGGGGGGTCCGGATCCCTCCGAGGTGGTGGCCCCCGCTCTGTCCATCCTGACGGTCATCGGTATCGTGCCCTTCTCAGCGGCGCTGGCTCGCCAGGCCTGGGTGAAGTACACCCTCACTTCACGACGAATCAAGGTAAGTAAGATTTCCGGACGATGCCGGGAATTTGCAGGGGGGGGAGGGGTGGGGGGGTACTCATTGCCGTGCTTGAGGTAGTCGCTGGACCATTGACCTCGCATCCCTACAAAGCCGGGACGAAGCGCGCCGGGTGCTCACCGGACCAGGCTCTCACATCACCAAGCGCGAAGCGCCGTGAGATATTCGGCGAGTCGCATGAAGGGTGCGCTGCATCCTGCTAAGGGTGTTCGGCATCTTGTGCTTACTTCCTTGCGTACGGATGACAGCTGCGTATGAATTAATTTATTTTCTGGTGCTTTCACTTCCAGAGACAGTTGTAAGCACTGTGTAACTGCCTCGAGGGTGCTTGACCATTTTAACACAACGTGGTGCGATCATCCCCCTTGCGCGGAGTGAGGGTTCACCCCGCACAACATGATCTACTCAACCATCATTATGGTTACCGAACCGCAAAAGAAAACAGCGGGACACAAAAAAAACGGTAACCTGGTTGCCGAGTTCACGAAATGAAGTGGCTTGNGAATGACAGCGGCGTATAACTTAATCTATATTCTGGTGCTTTCACGTCCTGAGAAAGTTATAAGCACTATGCAACTGCCTCGAGGGCGCTTGACCATTTTAACACAACGTGGTGCGATCATCCCCCTGGCGCGGGGTGAGGGTTCTCGACCCCGCACGACATGATCTACTCGACCACCATTATGGTAACCGCAAAAGAAAACAGCGGGACACAAAAAAAACGGTAACCTGGTTGCCGAGTTCACGAAATGAAGTGGCTTGTTTTACAACGTCTTTGCCAAGCCAAGCGTCGAAAACCCAATGGCGATGGCGAAACACGGATGGGGGGGCTAGTTTTGCAACATCGTTGCCAAGCGACGAAAACCCAACACCGGAGGGGGAAGGGGGGGAGGGGGGGGGGTGTACTCATAGTCGTGCATGCCGTAGTCGTTAGACCATTGACCTCGCATCCCTACAAAGCCGGGACGGAGCACGCCGGGTTCTCACCGGACCAGGCTCTCACATCACCAAGCGCGAAGCGCCATGAGATATTCGGCAAGTCGCATGAAGGGTGCGCTGCACCCTGCTAAGGGTTTTCGGCATCTTGTGCTTACTTCCTTGCTTCCGGATGACAGCTGCGTATGACTTTATCTATATTCTGGTGCTTCACTTCCTGAGGCAGTTGTAAGCACTGTGTAACTGCCTCGAAGGTTCTTGACCATTGTAATACAACGTGGTGCGATCATCCCCCTTGAGCGGAGTGAGTGTTCTCCACCCCGCACAACATGATCTACTCGACCACCATGGTTAC